TCCTTAAACTTATTTATTACCAATATTAATAAAACAAAATAGACAAATTTTCTATTTTCTAATATTAATTTCTTCCAATTAATTAATATTTTCAAATCATCTCATTTAATAAATAATTTAAATAAATAAAAATACAGTTCCTTAGGTTTAGAGAACTTTCACTTTTAATGTTGAAGAGATAAAAATTGAGTTTGAAGAATCTTATCAAACATTTGATTTGCAAAATCATTGAATTCGTTTCACTAGTCAGAAAGTGTAATCACATACAAAGATGAACTATATCATATAAAGCCACAATCTAAAATTGTACATGTTACAATTGTTTATTTCTTAGAGAAGAAATCTTCACTGGAACCTAAAGGGAATTGATGTATATTTTATATTTTATTTATAGAAGTAATAACTAGGTTCAATGAATTGTTTCAAGAAAACTACAATAAGGGAGGTAAGCACAATATGGTAAATCATAGGGAGGTGAGTTTAACAGAGAAAAATGTGAAGGGAGATGTGAAGGGAGGTCTCTAAAATTAATTTCCATATAAAATTTCAAAATATGATTTTTGTGTACTTGGCCAAGGAGGTAGCCTATTTGTCACATGGTAATCACATTTAATAGCTTTTGTCCATAGCTCTCAGGAAAGATTTTTTTTTCATGCAACCATGAAAGACAAACTTAAGTAAGATACGAAAGCTTTCTTTCGACAATTTTATTTTGATGAGGAGTATTTGGACAAGTCATTTGATGAAGAATTCCCTTTTCATGTTTACTGGAAGAAGTCATCTAAGATATATTTTCCACCATTATTACTGCAGAGACATTTTATCTTCTTCCCAAACTCATTAGCAACATCATCTTTGAACTCCAGAAACTTGGATAATGCTTCACTTTTTCTTTCAAAAATTTCACCCAGTGAACCTTGAGTTATCATCCACCAACATCATAATATAGAGATGACCGCTATAACTTGGTGTTCTTCTTGGTCCCATCAAGAATTTAAACAACATGATTCTTTGATTTGATGACATTTTCAAAGTAAGACGATGAGATTTTTCATATTGACAGCCTTGACAAATCACGTCTTCACGTACATTCTTCAAAGTTTGCAAGCTATCTACCAATTTTTTTAGAAAAAAATTGTTGTAGTATTTGATAGCCTGCATGACCCAATAGAGCATGTCAAATTACGACATTATAAGTTTGGCATGCTTTCTTTACATAAGCTTCATTTGCTAACATAAGAAACAAAGAATCTTTCTTTTCACCAGTAAAACATAACATCAACAAATATTTCTTTTACATTTCATCATCCTGCAACTTGATACTTTTGTATTTATCACCAACAACCTCAATCTTCACAACACCTTCATTTGTTACCGGATATTGAGTTATCTGATGTGATAATGACTCGGTCTCCATGATAATCTCGCATCTCCGAGAATAAAGAATCATCTATAGTTACATGATGTGAGCATCCTCAATTAACGATCCACTGTTTCCTCTTATTGTTGTTGGCATACTTGAAAGAAACTTGTGCTGGCTTTTGTTAAACAGCTTGGATGCTAAAATATTGATCCCATTTCATTTGTTCATTTGCTTCGTTGTTGCACGTGATATTGGCTTTGAAAAGTTTCACTCATCATTTTTTTTTATATGTCCAAGTTTTTCATATCTGTAGCACTTTCTGTTGTAATGTGAATTTTCACCTTTTTCCATACTTATTTTTTCTTCTTTACTTTTATCCCAAGTTGATGTATTCTTTTGGTTCGGTTTTTCTTTAAAAAGTAGATCATCAGATTCAAGATTATTAGCCATTTGTTTACCCAAATCTTCTTGATTAGAAATTAATTCTCCAGTTCTTCAACATATGGTTGTTGCGTCCATTCTTGAATGAAAGTGACAAAGGATCATACTCCTTTTTCAATCCACGAATAAGATAGTGTTGTAGGCGTGACTCGCTAATCTTCACTACCAGATCAATCTTGAATTTAAACACAAATACTTTTAACTCACAAAAAGTAATTTGAGATTGACATACCTACATGTTGCAACATTGGAAACTCATTCTCCAAAAATTGCAGTTTTGCTATACTTTTCTTGATAACTACCATTCGAGCGTGTGCCAAACTTCTTTTCAAGAGCTAACATCAGAAATATGATCAATAAAATTCCTTAGTAATAGAAGTATTCAAACTAAAGAGAGTTTTTCGCACTTGATCTTAAATTTCCTTCGATTTGTCATTCTCAAGAGTATCGAATGGGATTATTGAATCAGGTCCTACAATTAAATCTCATAGATCTTGAACTTAAAGGTATGCATATTTACTCATTCTCCAATACTCGTAGTTAGTGCCTACAAGTTTTTCTATTCCATATTGAGCATTTCCCCCATTTGAGGCTTCCATTGCTACAAACGGTAAAAGATTTTCCTTAACACTTCCAAACTTTTCCAACAGGGTTGTAACACCTTGCAACTTTACTCTTAGAATCTGAATCGTTCGTCTTAAGTATATGAGCTTGAATCGGGTGATGTACTACTTGCTCATGTGTTTAAGTTCCGTTACCAAGTGTATCAAGGGTATCGTAAGTGATTTATGGTCATAAGGGACCTCTAACACTAAGTCAAGTTCAAAGTCTTTCTATAGGCTAAGTTCTTCGCATTATTTTATCCTAGAGTCAACTTCAAATGACCATATCTTTCATCATATAAAGAACTAGGTGAACCACAAATTATCTAATTAAAAATATATGAGTCTTCTTTCCAACACCACCAAGTTTGCATCAATTGAAGTTCAGAGTAAAAAGTTATGCCCTTTTTACTGGACAATGTCTTGCCACGCACCGGGCCGAGTTTTTTTCCGCGTGGGCGCAAGTCGAGGCAGTAGCTATTACATTCCTGCGCAGTTGGATGCGCACCTGAGGAGTTCTCCGCATGGGCGCGTAGGCGTTTAAGGCTTTAATGACCCTCCAAAAACGTGATTCACCTCCATAGTTCATAACATTACCCTAGAAAGAAAAGTTTTGAAGAAACTAACTTCTTCCAACGTTCATCCATCATCCAAGGTAAGATTTAACCACAAAACTTCTTAATTTCTTCATCTTAACACGAATTAATGACACCTCGTGAAATTCATAGATTTTTCAAGAACTCATCTCCAAGGTTCAAGAAAGGTTTTGTAGGTCTTCTTCTTCCAAGATCACTCTTTTCTTTGGTAATTGGAGCGTTCGTAGGTTTTCTTCTTCCAAGATCATTCTTTTCTTCGGTAATTGGAGCGATTAAGGTATGTAATACTTCAATGAGGAATTCCTTTCATCCTCATATCAAAGATTTATCAATGTTCATGAACTAAATTCCATAATTAGGGTTATCAAACCCACTTTCAAATTCTTCCATAATCTTGACCCAAATTTCACGATTTCTTTAAATTAATTATTCAAGATTAAATATTCTTGACCTATGTACTTCCTTTTTATACATAGTAAGGGTTTACATTGTTATTCTCGTGAGTTGTTGACATGACATTGTTATGATTTCATGAAGCTTATATTTCAAAGCATGAGCTATGCAAGTTAGAAAACTTTCTCATGATTTAAGTTATATACGTGACTTTGAAAAATATATTTTAGAAAGATTTGAGCTTTGACTCACAGATTTGAGCTTGGTCTCACCCTTTAATCAGACAGGCAGATAGTTTATCAAACTATGAGCATATTCTATAAGTATATTATTTTGGGAGTATTATTGAGCATTGATATGGGATACGAGTTCAGACAACTCAAATCCCATAAACTACGTAGCCAGCATAGATAGGATCGTACTGTAAGACGGGCGAGCGACTCTAGCAATGTGCATAAGATGTTGTATCATCACGAGGCTCATAGTGATGGTTGTCGGTTAGAAAAACTCCCCAGTAAAGTAAAGAGTATTTATATACATACATACATATATATGTATATATATATACTAGTTTAGTTCAGGATTTTCTATTACTACATCATATTTGTGAAGTTTAAATGATTTTATCTCATATTTATGCTTTACTTCAATTGAGTTATATTTCAGTCTTATTATATACTTGTACATTCAATGTACTGATGTCATTCGACCTGCATCATCTTATGATACAGATACAGGTTTTTAGGATCATCAACAGGCGCATCGTTTATATCACCCAACTTCTTGCCAGGATTTGGTGAGCCTCCTTGCTTTCAGAGGACTCCAGTCATATATTTGCTTTAATAGTTTTATTTAAGGTTGTCGTGGGTCTGTCCCGACACCTATCTTAGACAGTAGAGACTTCATAGATAGGCAATGTTAGAGGGTCTCTCGGTATTTATCTTCACATATTTTGTTAAACTATTACCGTTTGCATTCAGTATTCTGAGACAGTTCAGACAGTATTTGACTTAAATATTTCCCCTTAAGTTATTTAAAACGAAAAATGTTTGAGTAAATCTTCTACTAAGTAGTCAGTCAGGCCAAGGGTTGGCGTGGGGATCACCAATGGTTCTCGAGTGCCGGCCACGTCCAGGGTGTAGGCTCGAGGCGTGACTAACTTTGTATTAGAGCCCAGAGTTCAAGTGTCCTAAGGTGTCTATGAAGCCGTGTCTAGTAGAGTCCTTTTTATTAGTGTGAAGCGCACCACATCGATGATAGGAAGGCTATAAGATATTAGGAGTTGTCTCTTTTTTTTATACTCCCATTCGTGCGATAGAGTTTAACTCTATAAAATTTTCTTCTAACTCGTGCCTATGCATGTCTTTTCATATCATGCCTCCACGAAGAGCTATTCGAGGATGTCCTGCTAGGAGGAATGTAAATCCTTAAGGTAAAGAAGCTCCCAATGCACAAGAAGTGCAACCTCCTCAGGGAGATGTCACCAATGTTGAGTTCAAAAATGTTATTCAAATGCTGACTCAAGTTGTGGCAAATAAAGTTGATCAACAAATAGTGCGTCGTTAGGATGAGACTGATACTTCTAGAGTTCGAGAGTTCTTAGGGATGAATCCCCCGGAGTTCACGGCTTCAAACCACAGCGAGGATCCAGAAAACTTTGTGTATGAGCTTCAGAAGGTGTTTGAAGTTATGCATGTTGTTGATACTGAGTGTGTTGAGTTGGTTTCATATCACCTCAAGGGTGTTTCCAAGATATGGTACTAACAGTGGAAAAAAACTAGAGGAGAAGATGCAGCACCCTTAGGCTGGACTGTATTTGAGAATGCCTTCTTGGGGCGCTTCTTTCCCCGAGAGATAAGGGAGTCAAAGGTAAGAGAATTTCTTAACCTGAAGCAGGAGTCTATGAGCGTGCAAGAATACAGTCTCAAGTTCACCTAGTTATCTCGCTATGCTCCAAAGATGGTGGCTGATATGAAGAGCAAAATGACCTTATTTGTGTCGAGACTCTCCCGTTTATCAAATAAGGAAGGTAAGGCGGCCATGTTGATATGAGACATGGACAAAGCTAGGCTTATAATTAATGTGCAACAGGTGGAGGAGGATAAGCTGAAGGATAGGGAAGACTATCGAAGTAAGAAGGTCAAGACAACAAACTATGAGTCCGTCCAGCAGAAGACCAGAAATGGAAATCGATCATCCTTTCAGTAGAGGTCATTTGGACCTGCTTCATCATCAGCTAGTGCACCTGCACCAAAAACAGGAATGATCACCAGATCCAAAATTCTCAAAATTTCCAAGCTCAGGGTCTTCAGTCTCATGGAAGACGAGGTGTTTGGAGCCCACCTTGTGCTAAGTGCGGTAGGACCCACCAGGAAAGTGTCATGATGGCACAAATGGTTGTTTTAAGTGTGCTCGGATGGGTCACTTTCTAAGAGATTGACCAAAGGAGAGGCAAGGTAATGGGAGTAATAGAGCCCAATCTTCTTCATCAACTCCAACAATCAGGGCTGCCTAAAGAAGTGCTACTTCAGGAACATTCGGGGTACAAACCGTCTATATGCTATGGCTAATCTCCAGGATCAGGAGAACTCACATGATGTTGTTACTGGTATGCTTAAAGTCCTTTCTCTTGATGTTTATGCCTTACTTTATCCAGGTGCGAGTTCATCTTTTGTAACTCCATACGCAGTCATGAGGTTTGGAACTTGTCCCGAACAACTTCTTAACTCATTCAATGTTTCTACACCTATTGGTGGAGTCTATTTTAGCAGAAATAGTCTATCGTGATTGTACCATCTCCATTCATCACAAAGACACTTAGACATGGTGGATTTTGATGTCATTCTAGGCATGGATCAACTTTATGCTTGTTATGCCTCGATCGATTGTAGAACTCGAGTGGTCAGGTTTCAGTTCCCTAATGAGCTAGTCTTAGAATGGAAGAGTAATCCAACAGTGTCTAAGGGTCGTTTCATCTTATTCCTTAAGGCTAGAAAGTTAGTCTCCAAGGGGTGAATCTACCACTTAGTCAGAGTTAATGACTATAGTGTTGAGACACCACCTCTTCAGTCAATCTCAGTCGTAAATGAGTTCCTAAAAGTTTTTCCCAACGATCTTCCCGGAGCTTCTCCCAAAAAGGAGATAGACTTTGGAATTGATGTACTTCCTGATACTCAACCCATCTCTATTCCACCATACAAAATGGTTCCATCTGAGCTAAAAGAGTTAAAAAAATAGTTGAAAGATCTCCTTGATAAGGGCTTCATCCGACCAAGTGTATCGCCTTGGGGCGCTCTAGTCTTATTTGTGTAAAAAAGTGATGGTTCCCTTAGGATGTGTATCGATTACCGCCTGTTGAACAAGGTCACCATAAAGAATAAGTATTCCCTTCCAAAAAGTGATGACCTTTTCTACCAACTTTAGGGTGCCACTTGCTTTTCTAAGATAGACCTTAGATCTAGCTATCATCAATTGAAAGTGAGAGAAAGTGACATCCTGAAGACAGCTTTCAGGACCTGTTACAGTCATTATGAGTTCATTGTCATGTCCTTTAGTTTGACTAGTGCTCCTGCCACACTCGTGGATCTCAAAATAGAGTATTTATGAAGTATCTGGATATGTTTGTTATTTTATTCATCAATGATATCTTGATCTACTCTAGAAACGAGGAAGATCATGCCAGTCATCTCAAAATAGTCCTCCAAACTCTTAAGGATCATGAGTTATTTCCAAGTTTTCAAAGTTGTGAATTTTGGCTTGAATTTGTGGCATTCTTAGGCCACATTATATCTGGCGAAGGTATTTGAGTTGATTCTCAGAAAATAGAGGCAGTGAAGAATTCGCCCAGACCTACATCCTAGACTGGAATAAGAAGTTTCTTGGGTTTGGTTGGTTACTACAAAAGGTTTGTAGAAGGATTTTCATCTATTTCATCCCCCATTGACTAAGTTGACCTAGAAGAAGGCTAAGTTTCAATGGTCTGAGGCTTGTGAGGAAAGTTTTCAAGAATTGAAAACTTGATTGACTATTGCTCCAGTATTAACCCTGCCAGAGGGACCATAAGGTTTTGTTGTATACTACGATGCGTCCAGAGTTGGACTTGGTTGTGTGCTGATGCAGAATGGTAAGGTTATAGCATATGCATCTAGGCAGCTAAAAATCCATGAGAAGAATTATCCGACTCATGATCTCGAATTGGAATTAGTGGTGTTTGTTCTTAAGATATGGCGTCATTATCTCTATGGCGTGCATGTGGATGTGTTCACTGACCACAAGAGCCTTCAGTATGTTTTCAGTCAAAAAGAGCTTAACCTTAGGCAGAGGAGATGGCTAGAGTTACTTAAGAATTATGACATGAATATTCTCTACCACCCAGGTAAGGCTTATATTGTTGATGATGCCCTTAGTAGGTTTTCCATGAGAAGTAATGCTCATGTTGATGAAGAAAAGAAAGAGTTAGCAAAGGAAATGCATAGACTTGCATGTTTGGGAGTTCATTTAGTAGACTCCGGTGAAGATGGAGTTGTTGTAATGAATGGGGTTGAATCATCCTTGGTGTTGGAAGTGAAAGAGAAGCAAGAGAAGGACCCCATCCTACTTGAGTTGAAGGCAAATGTTCATAAATAGAAATTGATGGCTTCTGAACAAGTGGGAGATGGTGTGTTGAGATATCAAGGTAGATTATGTGTTCCAAAGGTGGATGAGCTCCAACAGAGGATTATGGCAGAAGCTCATAGTTCAAGATATTCGATCCATCCGGGTTCCACCAAGTTGTACCATGACCTGAGAGATGTTTATTGGTGGAATAGTATGAAGAGGTGTATTGCAGATTTCGTTGCTAAGTGTCCAAATTGCCAACAAGTCAAGGTTGAACACTAAAGACCATGTGGTGTGGCTCAGAACATAGTTCTTCCAAAATGGAAGTGAGATATGATTAATATGGACTTCATTACTGGTTTGCCGCGATCTCGCAGATAACATGATTCAATTTGGGTGATTGTAGATCGGATGACTAAATCAGCCCATTTCTTTCCGGTAAAGACTACAAATTCAGCAGAAGAGTATGACAATCTATACATCTGTGAGATAGTCTAACTTCATGGAGTCCCTTTGTCTATCATTTCATATAGGGATGCACAATTTACTGCTCGGTTTTAGAAGTCATTTTAGAAAGGTTTGGGTTCCAAAGTAAATCTTAGTACTACTTTTCATCCTCAGATGGATGATCAAGTAGAGTGCACAATTCAAACCTTAGAGGACATGTTGAGAGCATGTGCCATGGATTTCAAAGGAAATTGGGATGACCACTTGCCTCTAATAGAGTTTGCATACAATAACAGTTATCACTCTAGTATCAAGATGGCTCCTTATGAGGCCCTTTTATGGGAAAAGATATATATCTCTTATTGGCTGGTTAGAAGTTGGTGAAGCTGAGTTGATAGGGCAAGACTTGGTTCATCAAGCCATGGAGAAGGTGAGGACTGTTCAAGGAAGGTTGAAAACAACGCAAAGTCATCAGAAATCCTATACATAGGTTAGCAGGAGAGATTTGGAGTTTGATGTTAATGACTGGGTCTATTTGAAGGTTTCACCCATGAAGGGTGTTATGAGATTTGGTAAGAAAGGGAAGCTTAGTCCCTGTTATATTGGTCCTTACCAGATTACAAAAAGGGTTGGTAATGTAGCTTATGAGTTGGAGCTACCATCAGAATTATCGGTTGTTCATCCAGTATTTCATATCTCCATGCTTAAGAAATGTTTAGTCGATCCATCACTAGTTGTTACCACATAGAGTACTGGTGTGAAAGATACTTTGTCCTATGAAGAGATTTCTGTCCAGATTCTTGACCGTCAAGTTCGCAAGTTGAGGACCAAAGAGGTTGCATCAATCAAAGTTTTATAGGGGAATCAGTTTGTTGAAGACACTACATGGGAGGCCGAAAAAGATATGAAAGCAAGATACCCTCATCTATTCATCCCTCTAGATGTTGATGTTGAAGGTAATGACTCTTTCCCTATTTCAGATTTAGTGTCTATTCGTGTGTTGAGTGCTTCCGTTTAAGTATTTGTTGGTGTATTTTACTCTATGCATTGTATTTGGGCCATTGTGCATTTTGTTGCTTAGTCATCATTCGAGGACGAATGATCCCAAGAGGGAGATATTGTAACACCTCGCAAATTTATTCTTAGAATCTGAATCGGTTGTCTTAAGTATATGCGCGCGGGCGTCCGAGGCTTTAATGACCCTCCAAAAACGTGATTCACCTCCATAGTTCATAAAATTACCCTAGAAAGAAATGTTTTCAAGAAACAAACTTCCTCCAAAGTTCATCCAAGGTAAGATTTAACCACAAAACTTCTTAATTTCTTTATCTTAACACGAATTAATGACTCCAACTCATAAAATTCATAGATTTTTCAAGAAACCTCCTCAAGAACTCATCTCACAGGTTCAAGAAAGATTCTGTAGGTCTTCTTCTTCCAAAATCATTCTTTTCTTCGGTAATTGGAGCAATTAAGGTATGTAAGACTTCAATGAGGAATTCCTTTCATCCTCATATCCAAGATTTATCAATGTTCATGAACTAAATTCCATAATTAGGGTTATCAAACCCACTTTCGAGTTCATCCATAATCTTGACCCAAATTTCACGATTTCTTTAAATTAATTATTCAAGATTAAAGATTCTTGACCTATGTACTTCCTTTTTATACTTCGTAAGGTTTTACATTGTTATTCTCGTGAGTTGTTGACATGACATTGTTATGATTTCATGAAGCTTATATTTCAAAGCATGATTTTAGAGTCTTTATGCTATTATGAAAATTAATTATAAATACTTATGAGCTATGCAAGTTAGAAAACTTTCTCGTGATTTAAGTTATATACATGACTTTGAAAGATATATTTTAGAAAGATTTGAGCTTTGACTCACAGATTTGACCTTGGTCTCATCCTTTATTCAGACAGACAGATAGTTTATCAAGCATATTATACAAGTATATTTTTTGGGAGTAGTATTGAGCACTAATATGGGGTAAGCGTTCAGACAACTCAAATCCCATAAACTACGTAGCCAGCTTAGATAGGATTGTATCGTAAGACGGGTGACTCCTCACCTGCCTCAGGAAGACTTTTTAGTGAATCCATCAGTTGCGTTCTATACCCCGGCAAGATATAGAGCGGCTCTAGCAACGTGGGTAAGACATTGTATCATCACGAGGCTCATAGTGATGGTTGTCGATTAGAGAAACTCCCATAAAGTAAAAAGTAAAGAGTAAAGAGTATATATATATTCCAGTTTAGTTCAGAATATGCTATTACTGCATTATATTTGTGAAGTTTAAATGATTTTATCTCATATTTATGTTTTACTTCAGTTGAGTTATATTTCAGTCCAATTATTGTTTCACTTAGCCTTATTACATACTCATACATTCAATGAACTGATATCCTTCGACCTGCATCGTCTTATGATGCAGATACAGGTGTTCAGGATCATCATTGATAGCACCCAACTTCTTACCAGCTTTTGGTGAGGCCTCCTTGCTTTCGGAGGACTTCAGTCATTTATTTACTTTAATAGTTTTATTTAAGGTTGTCGTGGGTCTGTCCCGACACCTATCTCAGACAATAGAGGCTTCATAGATAGACAATGTTAGAGGGTCTCTCGGTATTTATCTTTAGATATTTTGTTAAACTATTATTGTTTAGATTCAGTATTCTCAGACAGATCAGACAATGTTTGACTTAAATGTTTCCCCTTCAGTTATTTAAAACTAAAAAAGCTTGAGTAAGTCTTCCGCTAAGTAGTCAGCCAGGCCAAGGGTTCGCTTGGGGATCACCAATGGTTCTCGAGTGTCGGCCACGTCCAGGGTGTAGGCTCAGAGCGTGACAAGGGTAAACGGATAGACAAGAAGACTGAAAAGAAAAAATGTGTCTCCTTCAGCCTAGCTCTTGATACCATATAACAAAAGAGAGAAGACAAGAATAGTAAAGAAGGAACAAAAAGAAATAATTGAAAGCTTTTCTTGAATAGAAAATATAGTTGCTTAATTATAAGAGAAAAGCAGAGTGTGTATTGACTATGTATTACCTGACTCCTACTTTTAATATAATTCCTAACTTATAGTGTTTTATTTCACTAAACAAATTCCTAAACTCACTCCTAAAGCTCCTAAATCTCATGCTACTTTCTAAGGTGAACAAACCTCACCTGATCAATAGTTATTTTGACCTGGTAAATGCAGTGAAATAAACAACATGCAGTAAGTTGCATTAATTTGTTACATTAATGGAATCATTTTCTTTTATTGAGTTTTTTTTTGTTTTAATGAGATTATTTCCTTTTGATTCCAATGCGAGAATCATTTTTAAAAATTATAGGTTCAATTATTATTTTTCGAGTTTAAAAGAGTTTAAGTATTAGGAAAAAAGAATTATTTAATACTAAATATATTTCAAAACATGACATTTTAAGTTTGAGTTCACAATTATAAGTAAGATTGTATGCAAGTTGCTAAACAACGGGACTCTAAATTAATTTATTAGAGTAGAAGACGACACTTACCTTCTTCTTCTTTCTTTGATGATTGTGGTGTTTGGATCCACTTTCGTGCATCTTAACTAATTTCACAAGATACTTGCCACCTTCTACCAGAAATATGTATCAGGCAACTCTATTCACCAAGGTTATGACAGATGAGAAGAATCACCTAGTGTTTTTCGTCTCCGCTGGAATTTGAACGTAGGACCTCAAGGCTCTCAACTACTTCATTGACCGCTAAGTCACACCCTTAAGTGCAATACAACACTTACTTAAAATATTTGCTTTGTCAAATTATATTACATAAATTAAAATAAAAAAAATATCAATAATACGAAAAAAGATTTTAAAAAATTAAATTTATTCAAGTATGTATGATTTTATATATATATATATATATATATATATATATATA